CTTTCTTCTTGTGCGGACTCCCATGTCCTAGCGTCAATTAGTCGTTCTGTCTGGGAAGCTCAGCCCTCCCAGGAGAAAATACTACCTTGACGTCCTTCACAGTTCTGAGGGATGATCTTTTTACCAGCACATGGTCTATTTCCGTTTGTCGTCCTCCACTGCTGTAGGTGACCTTATGAGTCTCCCTTTTCGCGAAGAACGTGCTGCAGACTGCCAGATCGTGGGCCGTAGCCAGCGTCCAGGCACCTCTCTCCTCGGTTTTGGTATGCGGCGTTCCTCACTCCTATCCCTCTACCTCCGTGCACCCTTTCCCGGCCTCTCCTGTCACTGCCGACGTGGCCATTCAGATCACCTGCTACGGTCAGGTAATCGCCTTCCGGAATCGTTCTTATGGCTTCGTCCAGGCTCAGGTAGAACTCGTCTTTCTCACTGTCGGGGCATCCTGTCTGCGGCGCGTACACGGAGAGTATTGTCCAGTACCCCTCCTTTCGTGTCCTATCCTCACAGCCATGATCCGATCGCTGATCGGTTATCATCAGCGAGACATTAGTCCTCAAGCTGACTCGCACCGCGTATGGCCCAACACGTTCCGCTTTCGCTGTGTTCTTCCCCATTTAGTATGGAGTTCGACACGCTTTTCCCTATTCCCTGGCCTTTAGTTCACCTTTCCCATCGGTTCTCCGGAAAGCCCATAGCCACCGATGTTCGCTGGCGCGTCATCAGCGTTCAGCAACCTCCCGACTTCCCAGTTAGCGACCCTACGTTCAGAGTCCCAATTCGAACTAGCTTCTTTGGCCGAGCCGAGGTTTCACTCCTCGGTAGCCCTCGCATACTGACCACAGAACTCGGGCGGGGGTTCTGCGCGCCACTTCCGGGTGACGTCCTAGCATTAACACTGATTCTTTTGCGACTTTAGACATATTTGGTGTGACTGGGGTATTCATCAGCCGGCCTGTCAACCTGGGCCTGACGCTGGTACTAGAACCATTTTTGCAATTTTTGCAAGGCATGGTTAGCCTCGGCAGGGATCGAACTCGCGGCTTTTGGAGGTGCAGACATGAGCCTAACCTCTTAACCACTGTTCCTGCTTCCTCCGATCTCAATAAGTGTTCCAAAAATGTGGGGTAGGTCATCTTGTTACTACGTATAGTGGTGACACCTCTACAATCGCTAGTCAAAGATTAACTTACCAGGATGACTCGCTTTAGCTTCTGACGACTAATTGTCATAGTAGGAATTAGAAAGCTTCTATATGTGCACAGTTCAGCCATCAAATGAGCCTCCTGCCTCAATATTCCCTGGAACTGTGGTAGTGTCTTTGACTACGAAGTGGGACACATGTGTCCCAACAGTAGTTAATAGCCAGAAATGAAACTTATCATATGCTAAAGACATGATTGAGTTTATGCAATCGACTGCTATTAAGTAAAGCTGTGCATTACAATTTCATCTCCTCACATATATTATTATAAAGCGCTAAATCTGTCTGTCTTCTGTGTGTGCGTGTGTGTGTCACGAAATTCATAGCACGCGTCGCAGCAGTCGTTAGGAGCTGATTTTTTGATATGATATAGGAGATGGGCCGGAACATATATAGTGGGGGTCACCAAGTGATAACGACTGATAAGAGCAGATAAGAGGCGCTGAAACACAAATTTCACGAAGATTCATAGTGCGCTTCGCAGCAGTCTTCAGGAGCTTGATTTGGCGACATGGTATAGGGGGTGGGGCGGGAACATGATATCTGGGCTGGTTAACCAAAGTTGTAACGATCTGATATGGAGGTAGATAAGAAAGCGGCCTGAAACACAAATTTCACGAGATTCATGAAACACGCGTTCGCCAGCAGTCTTAAGAGGCGAGTTCCGGGCATTGACTATAGGGGGGGTCGGGAGCATCAATTTGGGTGGCGCCCATTATGGGGTCAAAAAGTGATAACGAGAGGAGACTGATAGGAACGATAGGCGTACGAACGTAGAGAGCACTTGAAATAGAAAATAGAGAGCAGATTGTAGATAATGCCTTTCATTTCAATATCATTTCATCAGCGTTGTAATTGTAAACTCAAACACCTTTCGACCGCTACACCTTCTAGAGTTCTTGAGGATGAATGGGATGCTCGAATAAATATGATAATGAATACTGGGCATCCGTTTTGAGATATTCGTAACCGCTAAATTACCTCGATACTCACGCATAGTGGTTCGTAATAACTTCGTATAGCTGGACTTCACTTCGCTTATCTAAGATACATACTGAATACAGCGAAGCGGAGCGAGTTAGCGAACGGACAGTTATAGTATTTAACGATGAACTTATATTTCACGATTAAGATCCTAACAAAAGGGGCGCCGTTTCCCCAGTGTTTGCGTATTTGGTTCGAAGTGTTTCTTTTTATCAAAGGCGACGCGGTGTAGGCGGAGCTTAAACTCGCGGTTAACAATGGTGGCTGCGTACCACTACAAATAGATTCGTAATTAGACGTCTAGTGTCACGCGCAAGTATAGCGTAGCGGAATCTTCTTTACTGCCATTGCAGCTCGAAAGTGGACGTTTTTCCTTCTTCATAGCATTATGCATTCCTCCAAATTAAATTCTACTGCACTTTACAAAGATTACTTCCACAAGTTCATCCTTGCCGAAATAGTTCTATGAGAATCAAGTTGTTGTGTATTTCAAGCAAAAAATAAGTGGTAACAGTAAGGTGAAGGCGACGCACTCGCAAACAGCTCCTTCCACGCGGTGCAAAATTCCAAAACAAGCAATGTCTCAACGTGGTAAGGGTACTTTACTACCGTCACAGCAGGAGTTCACAGACTTACACCAGGGGAAAAATTCAGCACCAGTCAGAAAGTCGTGTATGCGGGAGATTGATGGATGGCTGTTGTTGTAAGTCGCGTGTACACTTTTCTCCGTAACTTTTTCCTTCCAATGGGCCTGCACCTGCGTGTACCCAATCTATGAAGAGGTCGTGGCCAGTGAAAGCCACGCTCGTAATTATCGATGATGCATGTGTTGAACAATGATTGAATTTACTTGGATTTCTCATGATGCTCTAATGGTTTGAACTCCTTAACCAGAATGCGGACCTTCGCCTCACAAAACCGGCAATGAGCAGAGGACGAAGGGAGATCGTACGTCAGAAATAAAGTGGCTAAGCTTAGGCCTGCGCGTCACCGCTTGGTGGACATCCTGACCGACCTCCCTCAAGTTGGGTATCGTAGTCATACCAGTTACGGTCGCCGCCAAGTGTAAATGAGTCCTGATCTAAATCTGTGGTTTACGTGGTCATAATATGCAGTATTCTTTCAGGAAATCTTGGCAAAAAATATAATGCTCTACCGTGTTGATCTCACTGGTTGTGTATAGCATGAAGAAAAGGACGCCATAGTTTCTCACCATTGACTACTGGTGGAAAATGCCGATTTCGATCTATTGTTTTTCTATGAGAACCTTTTCTGATCTTTGTATGATTTGAATGATAAGTAAAAGGCACAGAATATTTCATCACGTTTACGATCAGTGGTCAACCTGTCCCAGAAGTACAAGATCACAGCGCGCAAAACATTGGAGACGTTCTGGATTACTGCTAAAAATCTCCCAACGATTGAGAAAGAGGAGTGTGTGGCCATCACCCCGTAAGCTCGCGCTCTTTCTCGACCGTTGTAGATTTTGACCTACCGTGACGCAGGGTCACCTGTCCACTGTGCCATCATCAACGAAGGGTCGGTCGTATTTCGTCAATGGGAGGGGAGAAGGGGTCGTGAGAGCAAGGACCAGTCAAAGAATTTGAAGGTCCTAAGGCGGATAGCAAAGTGGTAGATGAGTACCGACTTTCAAATACCTCGGCAACTAATGACCTCAGATGAGTGCATGGCGCGAACCAGAACAGGATTTGTTACCAAAACGCAACATGCCTCAGCGAACACAAGCCATATCACGTTCCATAAGAACGCTACTGAAGAAAGATGTCACATTCTGAATGAAGAAGCCCATAATTACTACCATGTTTAATTTTTTTAGTTCATAAAGTTGAATTGGAAGTTCAAAAAATTATATAGTTTTCTGAAAGTAGAGTTCTCTGCGATTACGATTATAAAGTTTATGCAAAATGTTAGAAGTTTTATTTATTAATGAGTAAAATTCTATGTCGCCTCGATCCCGTCTTGTGAGCGAGGCAAAGCGCGCGAGGTAACTTCCCACTGCTCCGCCTCCTTCAACGTCTACTACGGCACACACATCGATGGCGCGCATAAAGCTTTTTAAAATAAATGAATAACATAGAGAGATCCGTACTGGTCCCCTTGGAAGAAAGAGAGGGTGACCCTAAAGATTTTGAAATTGGCGCAACGAACGATTGACCCTGTCGTGGTCGAGAGGTGATACTGGTAATCATTACTCCACATTTAAGCCAGCTCAGAGTGGTCGATCCTGCTCACGGCGTTTGAGCGAGCAAGTCTCACCCGCTTTTTAGTCATTTCTACCTTGACGAGGGCGAAGACGCCGCGATGGCCTAATTAACGTTTACCAATCCCATGCCAACATTTGAAGGAAGTCGAACTCCGATCATCCTATCACAAACAGTTAGTCGAACAGATTTTATGTAACCATATATGGAATTTATAACAACTTGCATTACAGTTGTAAATATCACTAAAATTAACAACAAATGCAACAAATGACGACACACGATTAGCGTCAATACGCAACGACTAGTCATGACTGAGCCAATTCCTAGCAAGAATAAATCTGATAAAGGCTAATCTTTTCTGAAAGTTGATCACTATTGGAAATTCAATCTCCAACGTTTTTTCACAGAAAAAAAAACGAAACTAGAAAACTGTCCAATTCAATGCAGTGTTTTCAAACAGCACTTTTACTCGCACTTGAGAGAGATCGTTCAGAAGTTTTCTTTTTTTATTCTGAAACTACTAACATGATGAAGCAACAGGCACTTATATGTAAAATCAATCATTAAAATACTTACCAATACCAACATCCTCACTGTTTAACTTTGAGATAACACAAAGAAGATTTTTCACTGGACATCACTACAATAATGAGGCTGAAGCGAGCAGCTGCACGAATGACCTGTATTATGACATGATCAACAATGGCACACAGACAAATGAATTGTAAGCTTTAGCATAACCAAAACAAATGAAGTTAATATGTTGGCAACAGCGCGCGTTTCGGCATTTTTGGCCACATGGGACAGAAGCGATTCTGCTCCTCGCCTCATATAAATAAATTTTGAGCGCTATCAATAAGCAAAACACGATGAACAAAAAACCATTACAGCAATATTGAATGCATAGCAGTTAATCGGGGCTCTAGTGGTAAAGCTCCGACCAAAAGAACAGGAACTGTCTTGAAAAGCAAATTTTACAATTTTTCTCATTGATAGACGTCAAAATTATTACTGACGTGGTTAAGCCAGGAACAACATATATTTTCCTATCAGTAGCGGTTTATGTTTACTTTTACTACTTTTTTTCATTTAGATTGTCATGAGAATAAGATGTAAACAAGGAATGAACCGAGCTGCCAGTTTCGTAGCGCTCAGAAAACCTGCGCTAAACGGAGGCATGTTTGACTATGCGGCAAATAAAAGTTGTGTCTGAATGTTGGCAGTGATGTAATGGTGCAGTCCATGGAATGATTTTGGAATAAGTGGACACGAGGAAGAAGAGATGACTTGGGTGGGACGCATTATTGCGTCACCCTATCGTTGATGTGCGGTCACGCCGAAAAGCTTTGAGCAGGATTGATGGTAAACTTTCCAACATTCATCTTATGAAAGACTAACCTTCTCTACATAGCCATCAAGCTCGTGAACAGCTCGCTGCATACGCCAACGGCCATCACACACCTCGCCATCCTCGTCCTCCTCAGAGGAGTACTGTCATAAGGCTCATAGCTTGATTATGTCCTGATCATCAAAAGACTTCAATTACTCACCTCGTCCTGCCTCTTCAGATAATCGATTTCCACGAGCGCTAGACCGTACTCCAGTAAGTCACAACTCACTTCATCAATGTAGTCCGAAATTGAAGGGAATGATGATGGACGTCGAAGTGTAAAGCTTCAACCGGGGAAATAAATACGATATATGTCAAAAAATGTCGAACATGAGCACGCACATTTTGTTTCGCTGAACTTTCAATTGTTCCACATCTGAGAATCCACACATCACCGTCTTTTTTGAGTCCACAAGATAATATGATAACGGCCGAACTTTTGTACAAGATTCTCCACGAACCGCTTTGCTAAAAATAGGATCATTTTAAGATAGTGCATGAAAGCTGCTTTTGAAGCAGTCATTTTAGTAAAGCCTGCATAGGTCCCCAAGTATTAGACGGTTACTTTAACTAAATCATTTTTCCTACTTCAAAAATATTTGTTTTCAAAGACATGTAACCCAGAACCATTCCCTGCACACTTTTCCGCATCCTTCCCGTAAACCGGCGATACAGACACGACAACATAAGTACTTTCAAAATGTGAAGTTTACCGACTTCTATATTTGCTCTTATTCATCTTTTCGAAACCATGTGCCAGCTCATCAGCACTTCAGTGATGAACGAGAGGTAATTAGAAGGTGGTATATCTGCTAACTACATATGTTGGGGAGTGAAAATATCACATCAAGCGTTTTAAGTGTTGCTTTGAGAACTTTGCAAAGTCGCTCGCGCAGCTGCGAAGTTTCGATTCAATAAGCTCAGGGTTTTATAATCTGTCTGCAAGCTTCTAGTGTTATAATGCATGCAAAACATGCACCTGAAGTTGTTGGCTGGCCGGGCCGTTTGCTTGCTATTGACCTCAGACCTTTTCCCTCTTTTGATTTCTGAGAATCGTATCCAATGAGGTCTGCTTACAGTAAGCTTCCAGCCTTCGCAGCCTATTTTTCAAAAGTGTATAAAACAACAAGAACGGTAAGGAAACTAATTCTTTCTCTGGAGATTATCAAATATGACAACAAGTAACCGTTTCGGCTCTTAAATTACAACTCTCATCATTTAATGCCAGCGATTTGGAATGAAGTTTGCCATCCAAAAAAATTAGTGCGTCTCCCAAAACTTGTCAAACTTTTGCGCTATGTTTTTGATCCCTTCCATCGTATAGAAGAGATTTTAGCAGACGTTTCAAACATCACGGATATTTATATCTAGACACTTTCAATTGAATTTTATGCTCGGCTCTTCCGTGTTTTTTTTTCATGAACTTCTCCACTGAATTTTTACACAGAACGTCACAAAAACGAGAGGCACTTCACGACCCCCTCATCAAAAGGAGTTACTGAATGATTCGATCCCAAAACACTAAAAGCCACATACTGCACTAACCAGGAAGGTCTTTCAGGGCGTGCCAAGCTTTTTGAAAACGGTCTTTTGCATGATATAGGGGCACATGCGGGAACCACAGAACCATGGTTAATTTTTCCTGAACGGCCCTCTGAATACCAGAAAAAGGGGTCCCTAGTTCGATTCCTCGTGGTGACAAATTTTTGCATTTCGAGTTGACGTTCCAAAATTCGCGCAAAATGGAGTTAGCATGAATAATTACCATATTCATGATTAGGACCGTCAGTAACCCTTACAAATAGACTTTGATTAAAAAACTGGTGAAAAAGGTGTGACACCACAGTGGGGCTGCTTGGTGTCACACCTCTTCACCAATTTTTAAGTCAAAGTCTTTTTGTAAGGGTTACTGACGGTCCTAATCATGAATATGGTACTAATTATTCATGCTAACTCCATTTTGCGCGAATTTTGGAACGTCAACTCGAAATGCAAAAATTTGTCACCACGAGGAATCGAACTAGGGACCCCTTTTCTGGTATTCAGAGGGCCGTTCAGGAAAAATGAACCATGGTTCTGTGGTTCCCGCATGTGCCCCTATATCATGCAAAAGACCGTTTTCAAAAAGCTTGGCACGCCCTGAAAGACCTTCCTGGTAAGCTACCAGAATTTGTTTCCTAGTTACCTTATCAGGATAATGGAAACAACAAAGGTGAGACGACGTATTAGCAAGACTGCATTACCAGTATTCAAAAAGCAAAACAAAGAAACAAAAATCTTGAAACTGCACATTTTCTCTTATTTCAGCTCTGGCGACCCGATGAAGATTGCTAGCCTGCACTACCAGAATCAGACTTAAATAGACAATTATACAGCCTCCTCTTCCCACATAATTCAGATTAGATGGAGAGGACCCTGTAATCTATGGCAAACCCTTCTATGCATTTATTTCAAGAATATTGTATGAAACCATACCTCCAATCGAATTCTCCTGCAGGATGCACTGGTGGATTCCTAATCAAGCATTTCAGACACTTCGAGGGCGGACACGTTTGGCATTGACAGTCTTTTAAAATGCAGTCAACACCGATCAACTCTCCACAGGCGCACTTGGAGCGCTGGCTAATCATAAAACATTATCACTGATTTTGAAAAACCTAACACACGATGTATACCATCAAAAACAAAATGCAAAAAACTATTAGAAGCGATTCATATAGATAGATGGAAAAGCGGCGTGATGGATGCGTGAGTGTTACATCATTCATGAGCCCATCTTTAGCCAAAAATAAAAGGTCTTCAATGAAAGTATCGGAATGTCTGAATGGTCAACCTCGATTTCGTTCCAAGTGGAAGAGCCTTCTTGGATCTAAACAAACAAAGAACGAAGTTTTACCTTTGATAGACTCGCGGCCGTTTCTTTGGCGTATCACAGTTCTCTTCATCGTTTTTGGTGCTGCTGGATTTCAACCACTCATGGTATTGCCAACCATAGCGGCAGTTGCCAAATACCAGCCTAAAAAAGAACTAGTTCAAGATTAACTTTTTTGGAACAAAACCTCATGCCACTACACTCATCAGAAGGCAGAGAGAGCTGCATCTCTTCTCCTCAGGCCCCTAATGAGAATACAAAGAAAATCTACGAATTGGAGGCAGGCAACCATGAAAGATTTTCAGCTTGAGAGAGAAAAAGCTAACCTATATAAATTCTAGAGCTTCAACGAGGGTGCGAGCGAGCGGCTACGAGACGCCTCGCCAAGAAACGACCCAAACCGGACCACGCTAACCATAAGTGGAAATCCTATCCCAAGTTAGATAAGCAAAAAAGGGGAGTGTGGGGAAACAAAACATTCAGCTAATTGTGAGTACCGGCAGTTTTTTCACTAAGTCAATGTATGCTAATGCTTCTGCAAATACCAATATAAATGCAATAGCAGTTCATCTCAAAAAGAATTTTACAGCCTACCACCTTATGATTAGCCGTTCCTCCACTTAACGGACAAACAAAGACATACCCATTCTCCAATTTCATCTTGAGTAGACGCATGGCACACCAGGCATCCTCTACCGAACAATGTCCATGTGAGTTCTGCAAGAAGAGTTAGCTACAGATGATGAACACCAATAAAAATTGTTTCCATGGAAACAAACCTGGATTTCTTCGT